AACTTTTATTTCTATGCTGCTATTCTTCACATCCTTCCCACGTTACAGTCTCAGATTGCCCGCGGAGACATTTTTGGACTCCTCTCTTTAATTAGTTTCCTAAATAGATAAATGTCTAGTTTATCTAGTTTCCTAGATAAATGTCTATCAGGGATGGTCTAGACAGTATTTGGTCCTGCCATGCGGGCAGGGGACTGGGCTCGATGACCTCTCGAGGTCCCTTCCAGTCCTAGAATCTATGAATCTATGAACTCTTTCAGATTTTACCTATGAGATTATTTTCCTATCAGGAAGTGTCACCCTTTAAACGCTCATCTCGGCTGAAACACCAGCTCCCCTCACCATCCTGAGCCGGAACAAAGGCAACGTGGATAAGCAATTAGCCCCTCTATCCAGCAGCTGGGAGGTATAATTCCCATGCAGGTAGACGTACATGCACTAGCTCTGCTCAGGCTAGCGTGCTAAAAATAGCAGGGTGGCTGTGATATAATCCCTCCGCCCCCCGGGTACGTACTCAGGTAGCTAGCCAGAGCCACTGCCTGTGCCACCATGGCCATGCGGCTATTTTTGGCACGCTGGCTCCTGCCGAGCTAGTGCATGTCCATCTGCCCGAGCTGGGTTCTGAACCCACATAAGGGCTTTTGAAGGTGCCTAAATCTAGGCTCGGGCACCTAACATTCAGCTGCTCTTGATTAGACTGGCCTGGCTGCAGAAAAAAAGTCCATCAGAACGTTGGGAATGCACTGAAAGCTGAACCCCCTGTCTGCTAACACTGATGCCATTTTTTATTTTGAAGGTTTGATGCCCCTGATTGGAAAGATTGGAACAAAGACACAGGTTTAGCCCCGGAGGCTCCCATCCCTGCTGGAGTCTCGCTAAGTTCTTGGCCTCGTCGACACCTTGCAGGCGTGCGCTAGGGGTCTTTGGCTGAAACAGCCCTTCCCTGGCTGGGGAGGAATGATGGCTTTGGGGCTGCGTTGTTACGATTAAAAGCGTTCGCTGCGGATGGTGCAAGGCCCTGAGAGCAAAGGACGCTGGGAAGCCCAGAATGCCTGGCCAAAGAGAGCAATCCGGGGCTGCAGGATCTCCACTGGCTGCTCCCTAGCCAGGGCTTTGGGGTCCTCAGGGGCCGCCGGCTCCCCATCAGCTTCCTAAACCAGAGCCCAAACCCACCTCCTCCAGGGTGCCTGCAGCCCGCAAGCTGTCACACAGCAGCACTAGCTACTCCCTCGCCCCAGCCCACTGCTCTGTGTGCACAGCCCCACCCAGCTCAGCAGTGTTGTATCTCATGCACCGGGCAAAATCGCTGGGACTCCCACCACTCACTCGTCCAGTCGCTGATGTTCCCTGCGAACGTCCGGTAGGGCCCAGCCGCGGAGGCCACCTCCAGCAAATACTTGTGTCCTGGAGCCAGGCCTGAGAAGGTGAACTCGTGGGCATCCTTCCCCACAGATGCATTAGCTGCCACTGTGCCCACTCGAGCGTGGTACAGGGTCAGCGTGTAGCCATCTCGCTCCCCGGCAGCTGCTCCCCAGGACGCACTCAGCCTGTCGGGGCGCCCCTGGTTTGTCAGGTACACATTAGGGGGTGCCAAAGGGTCTGGGGAAACACCAGGAGAGACCATGAAAGCCGCATGCACTAGCAGGGGTTTGTCAGCCACCCAGGCCTGCCTCTGTTATCATTAGCTAAAGGCACCTGGCTTTAACTGCCTTCTTCACTCATGTCCCTCCGGGGGAGGGTGGGTGACACGTTCCCAGTTCAGGTATAGGGCAGAGGATTCCCATTTCCTTTCCCCCACCAGCCCAGGTGCTATTGATTCTGAGTTCGGGTCCGTGCAGCGATCCCTGTGGAGACAGGATGCGGCCACGTCCCATGGGGGACGTGCACAGGCAGCCCTGACCCTTCCCAGATGTGTTTGTGCCAATGGGGAAGAGTTTACAGTGGCTCCCAGCTGTCTCAGGGCAGCGATAGACTGCGCCTTTTGGCACCGCCCTGTGTAGAGATCCCCAGGAAAAAATTGTGCCCCACTTACAACCCCCCACACCCCTTTCGCAGCAGGGCATACTCTGCTGCAGCCTCTCTCAGGATGCAACATGATCTCCCCCCCACCCACACACACACACACTGCTTGGGAGGCAGCCCCAGTCCATCTCTCCCCTTGCCCCACGTGCTCCCAGACAGCAGTAATGGGTGTCCTGCAAGCCGAGAGCTCAGCCCAAGAGGGATTAACATAGCTGTACTGGGGAGCGTGCCGTGGGGTTCACTCCCCTTTACCCCCTGTTCTGTTAGATCTGGCCAGGTGTAGCCCAGGGCATCTGCTGATTGAGCTTCAGTGTCAAACTGATGCCAAACTGGCAGCAAAATCCCCCGTGAGCCTCCCGCACCAAGAAATCAGCTACATGCCCGGCTCTGAGCGCAGGCGCCAATGTCACCTCGCACCAGCTCAAAGAGCTGCGCGTAATGGATCCAGGGACCTGCTGCGACTTAGCCTTCAAATCACAGCTCAACATGGCCGAAGCGCAAGGCCCCAAGACCATGTAATGGCAGGCGACAGCGCGGTCCCTAAGGCAGAGTGGGGAGCGGAAATGGGCCAGGGGGAGGGCACAGATGGCACCCCGTGGCAGAGGGGACTCAGGACGCAGCAGGCTGACAGGGACGAGGGGAACTGATTGTGTGTGTCTGTCAGCAGGTGTAGTTCTGTTAATGGTTTGGGGTCTCAAGCTGCTTTTTAGAGGATTATGGGTAAAATGTTCATAAACACCCAGGGGGCTTAGGAGCCTAAGACCCAGTGACTCTTCCTGAGTCTTGGGCCCCTCGGGCACATCTGACCCTAAATCTCTCCCGCTCCCCTCTCAGTGCATTTGGAAACAGCCACGGTTCTATTAGCAAGGGCCAGATCCTTCCCAGTGCTGCCTGCGGGTCAACTCAAAGATTGGCCAAACGGGCATCAAGGGTCTCATGGCCATTGTGTCTCAAGGAATTCCAGTTAGATTAGTTCAGTTTATACATATAAAGATGCTTTTCTCTAACGACCAGCCCGTCACACTCAGCCTGGGAGCTGAGAGTCAAGCCAGCCTCTTTCCTCCATGCACATCATCCTCAGAAACTCGGACGCAGGTGAGGAGAGTTATAGGTGTAACCTGTGACTGAGACATAATCCTGTATACTCATCAACTGGCTCCTGGTTACTGGGGAGGAGGCATGAGATGGAAAGAACCCAGCTTGACTCTCAGATCCCAGGCTGAGTGGGGAGGGCTGGCTGTTAGGGGAAAACAAAAACCATTTGCTTGTAAAACTGAGTGGATTTGATACAGAAATCAGTGAAAGACAATAACCCCAGGGCTCATTTTACAGAATCGATTTCCAGAGTAGACACAGGTTCGATCCGTCATGGCCACTAAGTATGAGGTCATACCCCAATCCTCCAACGGGGTGGGTCTCAGCTTACTCATCCTGAATTCACTGAGCAGATGCCCCCTGGTTCTAGGTTCACCTCTGGCTCCCACATAGCTGCGGAGCTAAAGTGCATATGGTTCTGGTGACACGTCACAGGATCCAGAGGGAACTGGGAACTCACTGATCAATGCCACAGACCATCTCTGAGATTCACAGCTGGGAAGGGCGGACCAGTTCTGCTTGGCTCCCAGGGCTGTGAACTCACAGAGGCTTTGTTGACAGCTGCTGGGGAACCCGTCTAAGGCTCGGATTGGCTCACTATTAAAATCCTGCTACTCACATGTCCAGTCGCTGACGTTCCCCGCAGACATCCCGTAGGGCCCAGCTGTGGAAGCCAGCTCTAGCAGGTACTGGCTTCCTGGGGCCAGGTTCACAAAGGTGAAATTGTGGGTGTCCTTCCCAACAGAGACCCTCGCTGCCATGGCACCCGATCCCGCGTGGTACAGGGTCAGCATGTAGCCGTCCCGGCCCCCTGCTGCAGCTCCCCAGGATGCGGTCAGCCTGTCGGGGTGCCCCTGATTCATCAGGGACATGTTAAGGGGTGCCAGAGGATCTGGGGAAACATCAGATCTTATATCACAAACAGGGCAGAGTGAATGGGATCCTCAGCATGACAGACAGTGCACTGCGTGGTATGTGCGTCCTGAGGGTAAGGGGGGGCCTTGCTGTCACACATCCCTCCCCCCCACTGACACACTTCCCTGCACTCCTCCATCTGCACCCCATGCAGTGCTGCTACTTTGCCATCTGCCCCTGTTGTGACAGCCTGTGACCCACGAACTTCTGAACGCCACCTGGCAAGAGGGTTACAGGAATCTCCTGATTCTGGTCTGTACATTCTGGTTCCCCAAAGACTATCAGGTGAAGTTTGAAATGAAAGCCGGTGTCACTCCGCTCACCACCATCACTGTGAAAGGTCAGCACAGATGCTATGTGAGGAGATATGTATACATTGAAAATCTATATCAAGGGATTAGTCACCAGCAAAGAAGGAAACCAGGCTGAGAAGTGTCTCTCCCTCTCTGTCGCAATGTGAATCAAGCACCCTAAGCTAACACAGCAGACACCCATTTACATACAAAGTCAACTGTTAAACGAAGAGCTGTGAAATCACCAGGAAAGGAGTAGGGGGGGGGGGAGGAGGGGAGCTTTTCTCCTGTCTGGGAGCAAAGACAATGAACAGGGCAGGGGGTATTTCTAGAAGGCAAGGATAACACCCGGGCAACCTTCACTGAAGAACAGAAAGGACAGCGCTTTTCACTTCCCGAATGCAGGTCTCGGGCTGGGCAGTCCTGGCTGGAAAGGCGGGAGAGAACTTTGGGTGAGCTAAAATGTCTCCAACGCATCATCAGTGATCTACAACCCATCCTGGACAATGATCCCTCACTTTCACAGACCTTGGGAGGCAGGCCAGTCCTCGCCCACAGACAACCTGCCAACCTTAAGCATTTTCTCACCAACAACCACGCACCGCACCATAACAACTCTGACTCAGGAACCAACCCATGCAACAAACCTCGATGCCAACTCTGCCCACATATCTACACCAGCAACACCATCACTGGACCTAACCAGATCAGCTACAACATCACCGGCTCATTCACCTGCACATCCACCAATGTTACAGGCGCCATCAGATGCCAGCCCTGCCCCTCTGCTATG